GTTTAGGCAGAGGCTAGATCAATGTATACGCGATCAAGGTATCACCCAAGACATCCGAGGTGAGTCTTCTCACTATACTTTACCTTGAGTAGGTAACCAGAGTTATGTGATAGAGTATCTTGTATGTTATCTATGTGATGTGTTGCACTGCATTATTTCTATGTGATTTATGCTGTGTGTATATCAGAGTTAGGACCGGAAGGTCCATAGAGCTAGGACCAGGGGGTCCACAGAGTTAGGGCCCAAGGGCCCACAAGAGTTATAGCCTTGAGTGGCTAATATGTGTTATATGTTGTATTTTGGGGAACTCACTAAGCTTCGTGCTTACAATGTTTTGTGTTATGTGTTTCAGGTACTAGTGAGGATCGCTGGAAGGTGCAGGCATGATCAGTACACACACGCGCGGAGTTTATTTATATGTTATGATCTTGGGATTTTTACTTATGTTCGAATATATGAAACAATGAGTTTTATAATATTGTGAAATAAAGTGTTTTTTTTAATGTGGAAATTTGTTTGAAATTTTACGGCGTTACAATTTATTTATTTTTAAGCATTTTACATATTTTTTATGTTTTTAAATGTATAAACATATTTTTTTACGTATTTATATGTATTTTTAAGCATTTTACATATTTTTATGTTATGTATTTATATGTATTTATATCATTTTTGAAGTTTGTTATATAGATGCTTATGTATTTTAAATGTATAATTGTATTATTTTTATGTATTTATGTATATGTTTTTACTTCAAGTCATTTTCACCATTCCAACCAATTCCCACAACTTCTTCGAGTATGTGTAGATAGTTTTCCTACATACCTATATATTTTAAGTTTTTCTCATTCTCTTATTTTGAAATTTAACATCGAATTAAAAAACAAAATAATAATTTATACACATACAAAAACCTCAACAATCTCATTTGGCCTCAAGGGAACCCGATGTCTCATGTAGAGAAGATGAAGATGCGCGTTGTGGAATTTTTTTATTTCTATGTCATTATGTGACTTTAAATCTAAAAACTAATGGAACATCAAACATTTAGCGATTTCATGTGAACTCACTGTATTATTTGGCTTTATTATAAAACTTTGCTTATTTTTTATAAAGAAAAACATTATTATATATTTATATTCTTAAGATTAAACTTATATTTATTATTTTTTTGAATATTTTTCTTAATAATTAATGGTTATCGATTAATCCCTAATTAATCTTCGCCTAACCGATTAGTATCTTAATCTCAGTCCACTTACGTTTTTTTTACAACCTTGGTATTAGGTAAAGAACCTTACAAAAGCTATTACATATTTTCATTCTTTTCCATAAATTCAGAATTTGTAAGGGGTATATATTTTGTTCACGATCGATAAGATTTTCTCTAATTTTAACATCTCTAAGACGATCATGTTCTGCCCACGGGCATAAATTATTGTTCTATTTTTTAATTTGATGTTTTATTTCATGATAAGAGAATGGGGAAAGCTTAAAGTATGTGGGTATATAGAAAAACAATCTAGACATACTTGAAGAAGCTTTGAGAATTAGATGAAATTGTGAAGATGACTTGAAGTAAAAAAAAATACATAAATACATAAAAATAATACGTTTATACATTTAAATACATAAAAATACATAAAGATCTATATAAAAAACTTTTAAAAAAATACATAAATACATATAAATACATAATACGTAAATAAATATAAAAATACATAAAAAAAAGTATGTAAAATACTTAAAAATACATATAAACACATAAAAAATACGTTTATACAGTTAAAACAAATAAAAATAAATAAAAATCTATAAAAAAAACTTAAAAAATATTTAAATACGTAAAAATATATATAAATACGTAATACATAAAAAATAACACATAAACATACATAACAAAATATGTAAAACACTTAAAAATACATATAAATACTTAAAAATATATGTTTATACATTTAAAATATCTAAACATATACTTATCAAAAAAAATTTTAAAAAAATACATAAATACGTACGTAAAAAATACGTTTATACATTATATACCAATTTTGACAAAATCTATAAAAAAAAAAAAAAAAAAAAAAAAAAAAAAAAAAAAAACTCATTATTTTGGAAAAATTAACGATGTTATCTCATGAACTGTTGAACATGTCAAAAATGGGCTAAAATAAATAAATTAGCCGGTTTGTTTGGCTTTTCTATTTAAAAAGTTAAATAGTCGGGATTTTCTATTCAAAAAAATAAATTTAGGACTTTATTAAAAATTTTCATAAAATATTGGCACAAAATCTTGTAAAAGGATCAGGCACCTCGATAGAAACAACACATCGATATATATATATATATATATATATATATATATATATATATATATATATATATATATATATATATATATATATATATATATATATATATATACTAAATTCTTCCTCCATTTAACCAACGTAACTTGTACCCATCTTAGCTAATTTTTTTGCTTTTACCTGGGTTTCCCAGTGATAAAACATAAGTTTTTTGCCTTTACCTGTTAACCAATTTAACTTCTTCTAAAATTGTTTAATATATTTATCCTTTTGGTATATGTAACATGTTGGCTTTGAGGTATGCTTTATTTTTAACGTAAAGTGTAATTTTTGGTGAGTCATCATGGTGTGGGAAGGATTATTGTGACGTGGCGAAGCAATTTCCAGTCGCGGGTCTTTTGACTTACCACGATGTGGCAAGGAAGGCTACGACGTGGCGCTGACGTCTTATACCCTAAATCTTCGAGTTTGCACCTTATTTAAAGGAATGAGGAGGCTAGGGTTTGCTCACCCTCAACCTCCACCACCCTCTTTTATCTAGATGAAATCTCTAACTCTTTTCATTATTGTTTGAAGCTTTCTTGCGTGATTTGAGAGGTCTTGAAGGAAGAAGAAAAGTGTAAACCAAGGATCAGCAAGAGAGCCACTATCTCCCTTTTTAGATCTGTTGTGGACCCTTGTAAGTGTTCAAGGTTCCACTTTTTTATTATAGTGTTAGATCTTGCATTTTGTCCCATTTTCTTCTTGATCTTGTTGGATGAATGGTGTGACTTCATAAAGGTTGCAACTTTATGATTATTTGGATCATGTGAAGTAGTTTATGGTTTGGATCTGAAGTTTGGTGGGTTGTTTGAGCCATGCATAAGATCTTGGTCAACCCCCCCCCCCCCCCCCCCTAATTTTTTACCTAAGTTGTGTCCAAGACTTGCATTGGACATGCAAGTCTAAAAAGCATCAAACTTTAGAATGGTTTTAGTGTTATAAGCTCTTTTGGAGCAGATGGGCTTAGGACTAATGGGATTAAGTGCTTGTTGATTAAGTTATTGCCATTTTTAGCCTTCTTAGATCTAAGATCGGAGATTTAGACCTCTTAGTGGGTATCATAGGATAAAGATGGTCATGACGTGGCAAGTCAAGTTTGATTTTCGACTTGTGTTGACTTTTGGTCAAACCCCTAAACTTGGAAGAAAAGCTAAGGGTGTACTTTATATGACTGTATAGGTGGTTGGTAGCATCTGTGTTTGCAGCAGTAGTAGCAGTTGCAATTAATCATCATTTGATAAGTGAGTCTCTTCACTATACTCGTGGGTCGAAGTCACCAATGTCGTCTCATTGGATTATGTCTGTAGGATGATAGTTGTCTTTATGAAATTTGCCGATATGCATGTATGTGCTTGTTGTCTTTGTGACTCTTGCTGATATGATTGTATGAGACCCAATACCGGTTGAAAGAGACCGAAGGGGGTGAAATAGAGCTGAACCGGTTGAACAAGACCGAACGTAGTGAAATAGACCAAATACCGGTTGAAAGAGACCTAAGGGGGTGAAATAGACTCAGTTTAGTTTTATATTGTTATGTATGTATGGTATGGGGTATTTTGGGAAACCCACTAAGCTTTGTGCTTACAGGTTTACGTTTATGGTTTTAGTCAGTTCGAAAGGAAAGAGTTTGAGATGATCGCACTGCATCCACCAGCATTCCGCATTTTATGACATGATTTGTACTCTCATAATTATTTTATACATTATTACGTTTTGATGGGTTTTGAAATAAATGAATGATGTTTCTGATGGTTTTTAAATGAATTTTTTACTTAGTAATTTTTGGGACGTAAAAGTATAGGAACATCAAGAACACTAAAAATCATAACAGTAATAATAGAAATACCAATCAAATTTGAACAACAATAATAACTTAAAATCAAACACAAACATCAAGAACGCTCAAAATCTGAATTTACTTTACTATCCTCCTCTACGTTGTTGTTGTTGTTACTGTTTGTTTTGATCTTGAGTGGAGTAGATGTTTGAATTTGCTTCACTAACAACTCAAAATCAAACAGATGAATAACAAGAATAATCCAAATTTCAATAAACTAAAATTAATACTTTAAGTGGAAGGATCCAAAGATTTCCATAAACGAAAATTAATACCTTAATTGGAAGACTAGTGACAAAATCATCGAAAGAGAAGCACAATCACAAATGTTAGGGCTATAGGGTTGGAACCGATATTATGAGAGCAAGAAAACTGAATAGAGGAAGAAATCAAAAACCGATTCGTATGAGAGAAATCAAAGACAAATTCATAAAAGAAAATTTTTTGGATGCAAAGAGTAGGGCTCGAAGCTACGCGGCCTTTGATTTCTCCGCTTGTTTTTTTTTTCTAATTCTCTAGTGCAGCTTTACTTTTCTCCTTTTTTCCCTCTTAAAATTAGAGAATTATTTTGGTTGAAAAGGAATTTGTTTACTTCTCATTTCCTTATTATTTGCAATATCCAAACAAGAGAAACAATCAAACTCATTTCCCCTTCCCTATACCAAACACGCCCTCAATAACAAGAGTAAGAAAATAGGAACTAAGCACATGAAACAGATACTTTTCAAAAATAGGAACTAAGCACATGAAACAGATATTTTTCAAAAATAGGAACTAAACACAGATACTTTTACAATGACTTAAAAGTTGAAGGCCTAGAAAATAGGAACTAAACACATGAAACAGATACTTTTCAAAAAATATATTAAAAGAAAAAAAATACTTTCTATAACATCTATAAAAAACAACAAACAAGAATAAAAACCTCAATTTACACAAAAGGTTTAGTTTTCTATAATCTTTTTGTTTTCGACTGCTTTTGTATGCTACTAAGACATAAGATTATTGATGTACATACTAATATTTATATGATAATAATATAATTGTGAATTAAAGTGTTTTTACTCGGACCATAAGAGTCTAATGGTTGAGGAGTAAAATTTCAAACACAAGATCAAGGATTCAAACCCTTAGACACCTTGTTAGTGTTCCACAATTGATCTTCCACCATTTTTTATAACTGCCTTTGTTGTTCTTATCAGATGAAATTCGTGTAAAAAGAAAACACAATTTATCAACCGGATCATGTTGCCATTTTAATTCTTGATTTTACATTTTTCTATAATAACTTTCATTTCTTTGTCCCGCTTTCGAATCTGCAAAACATAAAAGATGCTTCACTTCAAAAATGGATCATCGAGAATTAACAAAGAAGAAAAGCAATGGAACACAATTTATGAAAGAATATCTCTATCAATATTTGATAAATTCTAGGTTTAAAACAAGAGTAAATTACATTTTTGGTCCTTGAATTTCATATAGCTGGTTTTTTCAATTTTCGTCCCAAAAATTTTTTCTCTTACAGTCTTGGTTCTTATTTGAACTTTTAGTATCATTTCTTTGTCCTTGTTCCCTTGTTCCAATTGAGTACATATTTGGGACGAAAAGAGCCATTTTACTTAGAACAGGGACCGAAAACGTCACAAGAACCAAAAGAGTGCAAGAGTAATTTTTGATACCGAGTATAGTCAAGGACCAAAAACTTAACCTACTCTAAAAGCAAATGTCCTTTATAAAAATGGATCTATTAAGTCCTAACTTTTTAATTCAATTCTGAAGGACTTAACAGTTATTTCAAGAAAAAGAGGTTTCCTCAGCAAGCCCTAAATAAAGTCTTTACAAATCTACGTACCCACAGTTGAGTTGAGTTTTCCTTCCATTTTCTTAACTAATATTTAAACATCATTTATTTATTTAAACAACACTTTTGAGGATTACAGGTGAGTTACCTCCACCCGAGGCTTTTTCCCTCGAAGCAACGCATCCACACTTCTTTCTGTCTGGAAGAAACCAATAACTTATAGATTTAGTAAATAAGACATACACACAGCTTTCTAAACATTCTATAATTAGTTTTAAAATATATACAGAGAGAGAGAGAGAGGATACCTTGTGTATAACCCAGCAGTGTCTATCTCTGATTTCAATCATAAAGGGAAAGGTAGGAGGTCCAGCCCTCTGACTCACACTTTTCCTTCCATCTCTCTGTTGGGCTTCTTGATCCCCTAAAGTAACAGATTCTATTCCCCCGGCCTGTATACATAATCATTCATACAACTTCAAGTTGCAAATTATGTGTCTGTTTGGTTGGAGGGAATGGAATGGAATGGAATGGAATGGAATGGAATGAGAAGTAGAGTAGTAGTGTACATAACATACCAAACGAGACAAAACAGGATTCTTTATAATATTTTCCAAGTGATCACCATGGGCACTAGCAATAAGCATGACTCCTCTTTTAGCAATGGATTGACAAGCAATAACTTCAGCCCTTGTGCTGATTTCATCAACAATGATGACTTGAGGCATGTGATTCTCAACTGCCTCGATCATCACTTTGTGTTGCATTGAGGGTTTACAAACCTGCATTCTTCTTGCACTGCCTATTGCTGGATGTGCTATATCCCCACCACCTCCTATTTCATTGCTCGTATCCACAACCACCTAATTTATATATATACATATATTTTTTTTGGGTTTTGAAAATGTTTGAATAAAGTTGAAAAAAGAATAAACAGAAAGATTAAAGGCAAACATACCACTCTTTTATGTAGCTCATCTGAAAGAACTCGGGATATCTCTCGCATAACAGTAGTCTTCCCTACACCAGGCCTGTAAAATTTCACTGCAACTCACTAACTAAAAGTAACAATACATAATAGGGTTCAATGAATGAATCTGCAACATACTTTCAATTATTTGTGTATTATATATAGCATTTCCTTCTATTACAACACTGTGCTTCCAGTGTTTTTTCTTATCAAGGTCATGTGCCTTTGAAAAATGTACCCTTTCAAATTTCTTGGACATTATACTTTGAAAACTATAGCATTGTACTTTCAATTTCTTTCATATTAGGACATTATACTTTGAATAATCTACCCAATTATAACAGCAAAAATGGGTTTGTATAGCGATGTAATTGCTATAATTTGATATATTTTTTCGTTGTAACATTAAGAAATGAAAGTAGAATGCCACAATAAACAAATCAACGAAAGTATCTTGTTATTTCTTGCATTTAAACTTACATAATATAGTTGTAAATCTTGCCTCATAAATAGTCCCATTCTGCTAAAATCCAATGTCCTGTCCATTTTGATCATTTAACATTTTAACTTTGTGGGTTACAAGTATATGGTGTGAGAAAAGATAAAGATAAAGATACAGGTTCAATCTACTTTGATGAGAGGAGAAATGAAAATGAGAGAACAAAGTGTAAACGTAACATGCCTAAGTTATCAAGATAATCACCCAGGTATTGTTTTAAATCTAAATAACAGAAATACTAGCGAAATACAAAATCTGCCTGCTTTCGAGAGGTGTATTCTCCCAATGACACTTGCTTTGAGCCTAATCCAATAATCAAATATAGAGAGCTACTTAATTGTGGAAATGCTTAAATCATTTCCTTATCCCTTGTTTTTAGAGTTATTGAATCATGGATATAACATCAAAACCTTAGAAGAAATTCAACATGGTCATAACAAAGACCATCGCAATTTGAAATGTATTTTAACTTGGAGCCGTTTGATTTTTCAAAATTGTAAGTAATATATGTTATTTTGTACACAACCTTTGCTTCAACATGTACAAAATAACATATATTTTGTACACAACCTTTGATTCTGTAACTACTTTTGTTGACTATTTTATTAATTTTGACCTTTTAATTTTGCTTACAAATTTTGACCGATTAGGATCAATTAGCACCAACGCCAATTAATTGGACCAACTAGCACTAATTGTAAGCAGTTGGAGACTGCCTAAACCTATTTTTACATCAGTGATTAATATTAAAGAAAATAACCCAATTTTTCTTTTAAATAACCACCTTTTCCAGAAGTACTTTTTCTGACAAAAAAGTATATATCCGGACTGAAGTTCCAGAATCCGGACAAAAGAAATAAAAAAACTTTATTATTTCAAGAACAAGTCCGCAATGACCCATTTAGGACAAGATGTTCATTTTTGCAAAACATAAGAAATTTGGTTATTTTTGTCAAACACCTCATTTGTAATGGTTAGTTTAATCAATATCCCTAAAACAAAAGAATTGGCATCCGTAATTTGTAATTTTGTAATGACTAATGTGGGCAAAATGGTAATTTTAGATTTGTAAGGAGACTGAATATGTGAATAAATAATTTACCTTCCAATAAACAAGATACTCTCTCCAAACTCAAGTAGATCCCGCACTATGTCAGTGATTCCCTTAACTGCCCTGCCAACTCGGCAAGTCAACCCAACCACAACCCCTTTCCTACTCCTCACTGCAGATATGCGGTGCAGGGTGCCACTGATACCACCTCTGTTATCCCCTCCAATTTCTCCAATTGCATTTTCAGCAAACTCTAGCTCTTCCATTGATATCTACTATCGTTTAAAACATACATACTAATTATTTAGAGGCCTCATTAAATTAAATCTCCACCAGATAATATGCAGAAAGTCAAATCAGCAAATATGAAAGCATCATTTACCTCGGTATCTCTTATGTATCTTCGACCTGAATCACCGAGGAAGCATGCCTGTGGCAACCGACCTAGATCCAATATTACCTATAACCACAATTAAAAAAAAAAAATCATGGAGTTGAGTGCAGGATAAATCTGATAAAAAATGATAATTAAAATACATTTTCCTTTTTTTTATTTCCAATAATACTTTATGTTATAAAAAATTGTTACAAAAAAAAAGTGACACATTTTAAATATCATATTGAACTTTGGATTCCTTTTCAAGCTCTATATGAGACTCTTGTACTGATATATTTTGTATAAACTAATTTTTAGAGTAAGTTATACAAGTTTGGTCTCTGTGCTTAGCTTTTTTTTTTTTTGTTTAGGTCTAAAAAGAGACCATTTTTCAGTTTTGGTCCCGGACATTGACACCTCTTGGGTGGTGGTGTCGATGTCAGGGACCAAAAGCGTTATGAAACGTTAAAATAGGGACCAAAACTGGTAAAAAAAAAATCCTTTATTTGTACCTAAACCGAAAAAAGTGGACCAAATTTGTAATATACTGTGATTTTATTTTACTTTTTTTCTTAAATATTTAACCATATATGTGTAAAGCATATTTTGTGGTTTGGTATCACATCAAACATGGTAGGTCGTTATTCAGCAACATAAACAATGTTGGAAAAGTTTTGGCCTGGTTGGAGTTGCTATTATTAAGCTGTATATTGATGATGTGTTAATGGAAGAAAAAATTAGTGAACTAATCGAATCAACTAGAATATTTAGCATTCAAATAGCAGAACTTGACTTCTATTTCTATCAATGTGTCCATCCCTATATGCTGTTTCTTATACTACATACAGAACATTGCAACTATCATGGAAAGAAACTACAAGACCCTTATTTAAAATATTTGAAAGAAAATCAGATAGGAATTCATCACCTCCAACAGTTGATCTTTTTTAGATTCCATCACAAGGTTGTCACGCAAATCGTGTGGAAGGATCTGCAAAACAAAAGGTAATCTTATCTTGAAAAACTCTAGTCCACTTCCGATTTTAGTGATTTAGATTTACTTTCATGTTAACAACTGGCATGGATGCTGGATGTTTTTACCCTTTATGATTCAAAAGTTTTATGCATAATGTAATAATATTTTCTAATCCGCAACAGCAGCAACACGAATACTAGTTAAACTCAAAAGTAGAATTCCTTTCGTGAGGAAAAAGGTGTGCATGATTTCAACCATAATTCCGGAAGTAATTTAATGTTAATAGTGGTGAAGGCTCGATCAAACAAGTTAAGAGGCAGCACCCAAATTGCATTGAGCTATGAAAATTCAACCTTCAATCGAAATGGGAAAAGTAAAGCATAACACGGAAGAAGGGAGAATTGATAAACAATAATACCTTTAACAATTCATGGATATCGTTGGCATTATCCGAAGACGAGCACTTGACAAACCTAGTGCGAATAACTGGTTTGATGGTGCGACTTGAAAAGAAATTGGGGTTGAAAGAATGGTGTTTGTAGAAGAACGAGGAGCTACTAGACCACATGGACATGGTTGTTATTGCTGTTGCATATATTTTCTGCTTGTAGCACTGGCTTTATACGCTTGTGCTGTTGGTCTCAGAATATGAGTTCCGAGCAAGAGGAAGGGGTTTTCCTTTTCCTCTGCCTTTTAGAAACCGTTTTTCCTAAAAAAAAGAAAAAAAAAAACATATATCAAAAAGCCATTTTTAAAGGAACCGGCGACACTATACGAAATAATGGGTTAACCGTCGATCATCAAACTCATCAACTCGTTTATGCCCCTTGGGTTAACCGTCAATCAGCAAACTCATCAACTCGTTTATGCCCCTCTCCCGAGTTCAACTTTAGGAGGAAATAGAAGGAAATAAAAGAAAATAAGAGAGATTTTAATTAAACGAAAGAAGTGGAAGCAAATTAAAGGATCATTTTTTCTCCTAACTTTCCTTCCGATTTGGAAGAATTTGGAAAGAACTAACAAAATGTTCAACTTTCCTTTCATTTCTTTCCAGCTCGGGAGCACAAAAGAGAAATTTCTTTTCCTTTCTTTTCTTTTCTTTTATCTCGTTACTATCTTTTCTCTTCTTTTTTTTTCTTCGCTACAACTCGGGAGCGCTGTGTTATTAAACGGGTCATATATATGGGTCATATATAGGTTTCTTAAAAAATAAATCGGTTGACCCGCCAATCCGTTTATATTTTTAATAAAATATATATTTTTTATTTTTAAATATATTTATGTATTAAGTATCAATATTTAATAAGCATTATATAATAAGTTATCTATGTTTGTATTAATGTTTAGTTTGAACTTGTTTCTATGAAAGTTTTTACTTTTCATTTAGATGTTTAACACTTAAGTAGTTAAGTGTCTAAATTTTGGATATGTTTGCATCAACCATAAAAAATTTATTCATGTTTAATTGTCAATTTTATTTATGAAATTTGACCCACGAACCCAAATATGACCTACGAACCTGCCAACGTGTGAATCCGTATAAATAAATGGGTTGACGGGTCATATATGGGTTTAAGTTCCAAACCCGCCAACCCGTGACCTGTATATTTAAATGGATCGTGTTTGGGTTGGCATATTTTGACCCACCAACCCTCAACACGTCAATCCGAACACGACACGATTGTCGAACCTTTTTTTTAATGTGTATTTAAAAAATATTAATAATAATAAATTGTCAAAATAATCAATTTGTTAGGAATGAGTTTATTTTGGATCAATAAAAAAAATGTTTTTTTACTAATTTCATAATGGTATTCCAGATTCTGGAATACAATTTCGGATTTTGAAAAAAAAAATCTTTCAAATTTCAAGAACAAGTCCGAAATCTTAAGAACAATTACTGAATTTTAAGAAAAAAATCATTTTTTACTTAAATTTAACAAAAAAAATTAAACATACTATGTGAACTATATAAAATGTTAGGTGTAACATGCGGATTCCAAGGTATATTATTATTCATTTAAGTTTTGGAGTTCGTGGAGGAACTCGGCAAGTTGGCGCCAAGACTCGCCGAGTAAGGACGCGGATGTTCATTCTATTTCATGACCGGACTCGGCGAGTCCATTCGTGGACTCAGCAAGTCCACGCTGTTTAATGAAGCCCTATTTCCAGGGCTTGGGACCTATTTAAAGGCCCTTATGGCCGTCCATTGTGGCTACTACCCCTAGAGAGAGAGTCTCAGATCGTTTAAGAAACAAGGAGTGACCATTATTGATCTTTGTGGTGTCATTTAGTAAGAAGAAGGAGGTTCTAGCCAAGGGAAAGCAAAGGAGGTTGCTATTCTAAGGACTAAAAGTTAAGATCATTCATTTGAGGTATTATTTTCGACTCTTCTTTTGTTTTAGGAAGGATATGTGGTTTTAGGGTTTCTTGTACCCTTGACTAAGTTGATTTGGGGTCCAAATAGTCCCTTCTAGAGATGAGGCTTTGTAATTGGACCCAAAAAGGTCCAGAGAGCCTTATTCTTCAAGCTTTATGGAGAACAATGGAGGTCATGACCTT